AACTAGGAGAGTGTTTTATTAAGTTGATTAATGTATTATTATAATATAGTATATATGCTTTCCTTATTTATTTCCTAATTTAGTTATTTGTTGTTGAATTTTTAATGTAAATGACATGCTACTTTTAAAAATTTTGATTCGTTTTCGGTTTAATATAAATATTTTTAATTTTCTCGAATAGTGAGGGTTTATTTTCTATGTTTCAAGCGAGTGAAAGTTGGATGTTTGTTTATTGTGCGCCTTCTCTTTTTCCTTCCACTTCCTACCCCATTTAATAAAAGCCCCCCAACCCACACACAAAAACCATCCCACACACAGAGGCACCAAAAAAATAGTTTAAATTATTCACACGCACATACATTCTACTGATATATATATATATATATATATATATATATATATATATATATATATATATATATATATATATATATATATACATTCTACTGATATATATATATATATATATATATATATATATATATATATATATATATATATATATATATATATATATATATATATATATATATATATATATATATATATATATATATATATATATATATATACATTCTACTGATATATATATATATATATATATATATATATATATATATATATATATATATATATATATATATATATATATATATATATATATTATACATATAAAATGAATCGTTGGATAGTTTGCCAATAGAACTCCTTTACACCTATTTTAATGGTTCCTTTGCTTCAATATTTGTTTGTTTTTTGTCAACACTACCCTCGACGTGATTTTCGATACGGCTGTTAACTTGTGTTCAGTGATTAATTTACTCAACTTAAAATGTACACAAAGAGCTGAAACCGCAGTAAGGGACCGTAACTCTGAAATTCGATTCTTGCCCCTTAGATACAATCAGTAACCATGAAAAGCTCGTTATATCGTTGTTGTGATCTAATAAGGGGAGGTTAGGGTAAATCTTGCCATTAGATTTGAGGTAAAGTTAAATATAACACTGGGTATATGTGATTTATTTGGATCTAATCGCCATTAAAAGAGTAGGAAAAAAAATAATCTCTTTTGACGCTATAATAATAGACATATTTACCCTTAAATATTTTTTTATAGCCTAAGCTTAGAAAACCTTTTCATTGATTTTTACTTTTTCGTATATACGTAGTATAGAGAAAGTATTGTAATCGTGCAAAAAAAAAATCGAGATTTTTACAAATCTCGACGTTTTACACTTCACTGTTACGGAAAAACATAATTTTGCAATCTTGTCCGTATGTCTGTGTGTCTGTGTGTGTGTGTGTGTGTGTGTGTTTGTGTGTGTGTGTGTGTAAACACGATTACTTGAGTACCGTTACAGCTAGGTTGATGAAATTTCATATATATGTATTTTATCAAAATCGTAGATCCGTATCAACTTTTGAGCGATTTTCGGTAACCGGAAGTGGTACTTTTTCTACTTTGAATTTTTCAAAAGCCTATAACTTGAGTACTATTTCAGATAGATAAATGAAATTTCACATGTAAGTAAAAGATCTAATTCTCTACCTTCTGTTAAATTTTGAGTCATTTCCGTTGACGGGAAGTACTAATTTACGCTATTTCCGATTTCTCAAAAACGCATCTAAATTTATAAAGTACTAATAATATTGCGCACCATTATGAACATCTTTATTCGGCGTTCGCTTACTTTTTTCTATGAGATTCTATTTTATTTTTAAAAGTTTATGTATTTAAAATGGATTAAAAATCATAACTATATCCCGAGTTCCCATCCCTTGTTGTTTTATATAAGAATATTCGAGAAAGTTTAGGGGAGATCACTCCCGGTTTATTTAACAAGTAAAAGCTAACGTTTTAGCTGCCACAAAATCATACTACTCAGAGCATTCACTCTCCCTCCACTAGTTCGATTTCATTTCTTTTAAACCAGAGTAGGAAAGGTGTAAGTTTTAAAGCTTAGTTATATCAACAACAACAACAACAAAAAATATCCACAAAACAAAAAAAAAAACAACAAAAATATAACAAAAATAGAAAAAGAAAAAAGAAAGAAAAAAATAAAAGAAATGTAACATAAATTACGTTTTAATAGTTTCTTTTACATTTAGAATTAATGCGATGATTCAAAAGCATTGAGTTAATTCTTTTTCAATATCAAGCCAAGCTTAATGTACAATTTAAAAAAGGATTTTTATATTAGCTAGTTCTTAATCCAATATTTCCAATATTTCAAATGCTCTGTTTTCAATATTACTGAAAAATTTAATTCTATCAGCAACTTTATCTTTTAATCTACCTCTTAATCTGTCACTTTAGGATTAGTCCCTTTCACTTAATCTATTACTTAATCTGTCACTAAATCCCTCAGTTAATCCGTTAACTAATGTGCCACTAGTCTCTCACTGTATCCTTTACCTAATCCTTAGTTTAATCTGCTAACTAATCTCTCACATCAGTTAATCCCATTCCCATCCAGGTTCGGATTTAGACTTGTTAATTCCCTAAGATATTTGAGATATGGGGCCATAATCCTACGTATGGTACCGAAGCTGTTCTGTGGTTTATAGAGTTTTCATGGGGATAAAAAATGGAGCAGTAGATTTAAGTATACGTTATGACTATCGCTCATTTGGAAAAAAAAATGGGGCCCCCTATCAAAGTTGGGGCTCTAACCCAAAAACTGTGTGTGTTCTGCGAATCTTTAAAAATTTGTTTTTAAAAAATGTAACGTGTGCCAAAAATTTGTTTAAAAAAAATGTTAACGTGTGCCAAAAATTTGTTTAAAAAAATGTTAACGTGTGCCGAAAATTTTTTTTAAAAATGTTAACGTGTGCCAAAAATGTGTTTTAAAAAATGTTAACGTGTGCCAAACATTTATTTTTAAATGTTAACGTGTTTCAAAAATTTGTTTTTTAAAAATGTTAACGTGTGCCAAAAAATGTGTTTTAAAAAAATGTTAACGTGTGCCAAAAATTTGTTTTAAAAAAATGTTAACGTGTGCCGAAAATTTGTTTTAAAAAAATGTTAACGTGTGCCAAAAATGTGTTTTAAAAAAATGTTAACGTGTGCCAAAAATGTGTTTTAAAAAAATGTTAACGTGTGCCAAAAATTTGTTTTAAAAAAATGTTAACGTGTGCCAAAAATTTGTTTAAAAAAATGTTAACGTATGCCAAAAATTTGTTTAAAAAAATCTTAACGTGTGCCAAAAATTTGTTTAAAAAAATGTTAACGTATGCCAAAAATTTGTTTAAAAAAATGTTAACGTGTGCCAAAAATTTGTTTTAAAAAAATGTTAACGTGTGCCAAAAATTTGTTTAAAAAAATGTTAACGTATGCCAAAAATTTGTTTAAAAAAATCTTAACGTGTGCCAAAAATTTGTTTAAAAAAATGTTAACGTGTGCCAAAAATTTGTTTAAAAAAATGTTAACGTGTGCCAAAAATTTGTTTAAAAAAATCTTAACGTGTGCCAAAAATTTGTTTAAAAAAATCTTAACGTGTGCCAAAAATTTGTTTAAAAAAATGTTAACGTGTGCCAAAAATGTGTTTTAAAAAATGTTAACGTGTGCCAAAAATTTGTTTAAAAAAATGTTAACGTGTGCCAAAAATGTGTTTTAAAAAATGTTAACGTGTGCCAAACATTTATTTTTAAATGTTAACGTGTGCCAAAAATTTGTTTTTTAAAAATGTTAACGTGTGCCAAAAAATGTGTTTTAAAAAAATGTTAACGTGTGCCAAAAATTTGTTTTAAAAAAATGTTAACGTGTGCCGAAAATTTGTTTTAAAAAAATGTTAACGTGTGCCAAAAATGTGTTTTAAAAAAATGTTAACGTGTGCCAAAAATGTGTTTTAAAAAAATGTTAACGTGTGCCAAAAATTTGTTTTAAAAAAATGTTAACGTGTGCCAAAAATTTGTTTAAAAAAATGTTAACGTATGCCAAAAATTTGTTTAAAAAAATCTTAACGTGTGCCAAAAATTTGTTTAAAAAAATCTTAACGTGTGCCAAAAATTTGTTTAAAAAAATGTTAACGTGTGCCAAAAATTTGTTTAAAAAAATGTTAACGTGTGCCAAAAATGTGTTTTAAAAAATGTTAACGTGTGCCAAAAATTTGTTTAAAAAAATGTTAACGTGTGCCAAAAATGTGTTTTAAAAAATGTTAACGTGTGCCAAACATTTATTTTTAAATGTTAACGTGTGCCAAAAATTTGTTTTTTAAAAATGTTAACGTGTGCCAAAAAATGTGTTTTAAAAAAATGTTAACGTGTGCCAAAAATTTGTTTTAAAAAAATGTTAACGTGTGCCGAAAATTTGTTTTAAAAAAATGTTAACGTGTGCCAAAAATGTGTTTTAAAAAAATGTTAACGTGTGCCAAAAATGTGTTTTAAAAAAATGTTAACGTGTGCCAAAAATTTGTTTTAAAAAAATGTTAACGTGTGCCAAAAATTTGTTTAAAAAAATGTTAACGTATGCCAAAAATTTGTTTAAAAAAATCTTAACGTGTGCCAAAAATTTGTTTAAAAAAATGTTAACGTATGCCAAAAATTTGTTTAAAAAAATGTTAACGTGTGCCAAAAATTTGTTTTAAAAAAATGTTAACGTGTGCCAAAAATTTGTTTAAAAAAATGTTAACGTATGCCAAAAATTTGTTTAAAAAAAGCTTAACGTGTGCCAAAAATTTGTTTAAAAAAATGTTAACGTGTGCCAAAAATTTGTTTAAAAAAATGTTAACGTGTGCAAAAAATTTGTTTAAAAAAATGTTAACGTGTGCCAAAAATTTGTTTTAAAAAATCTTAACGTGTGCCAAAAATTTGTTTAAAAAAATGTTAACGTGTGCCAAAAATTTGTTTAAAAAAATGTTAACGTGTGCCAAAAATTTGTTTAAAAAAATGTTAACGTGTGCCAAAAATTTGTTTAAAAAAATGTTAACGTATGCCAAAAATTTGTTTAAAAAAATGTTAACGTGTGCCTCTTTGGCACTGATCTCACCCACAGCCAGACAATGTCAACAGAACCGCTCACGCTGAAAGCCATTGAACACCACGATAAAGTCCATCCAAGGCTGTCTCTCTCCAAACACAAGGTCAGACCAATTCTTTTTTCGCTTTAATTTAAATTTTAAAAACTAAATTAAAATGTGTAAACAAACTCGTCTATGTTGTTTATGTTTACCGGTATCTATAATAAAAAAAAACAATCTAGTCTGGACAGATTATTTACCTTGATCTTTATTTAGATCTAAAAAAAAAAATATTTTTAATACATTAAAAAAGGGAAGCAACTTAGTATATTAACTGATAATAATTTCTATGATTCCTGCCCTTGGCACATAAAAGTACGAAATTTTTCCTTTTATAGATGAAACTATGAATATTTTTATCAGAACAATGCACTTTTAAAATAAAGTTCTATTGGAAACTTTTAATATATATATTTTATTTAAATTACTACAACGACGCTTTAAGATTGTAATCTTTATTTACTGAATAAATAATTCACACAGCATCATAGTTAATGATAACTAAAATGGGCATGTATATTTTCAGAATTTTTGTGTATTAAATTTTATAACTTCATATTTTCTAGGCCTCAAAGGATGGGCTGAGCAGTCAAAAAAATCGATCTCGACTCATGAGCCGGAGCGAATCGAACAGATCAATATCCAACAGCCAGCATGAGCTGTCCGGTCGATCCCCAGAGAGACAGCTGTCAAGGTCATCTCTGACCAACACTAGACCGTCTGCCGGACTATCCGTGTTCCGGCTTATCGCCGCCGCACGGGCCTGGAAAAAACTCTCACAGAAACGATGTCCGGTGCCGGAGACGCCAAAAATCCGTTACGAGAACACGTTTCGGCTGCAACCGGACCCCGACCGGACATTCAAAGCGGATAAAATTAAACCTGTAATCAACGATATACTGAAGAGGTACCTGCGTCATTTTAAATACACACAAGACGGATCGAAGCAGATGTGCTTGGCCATTTCTTCAGAGGTCAAATCAAGGGTCAAAGGTTTTGATTTTCCCCGGTATAAAATCGTCTGCAATGTTATAATTATGCAGAACAAAGGTCAAGGTTCGGAGATTTGCAGCCGATGTATTTGGAGCCCGGAAACCGACTCCTTCGCGTCTGAAACTTTCAAAACTGGACACATAATCTGTGTAGTCAGCGTGCATGCCGTGTACTTCGAGTGACGGGGATCTAGGTCATGGGCTATTTTTAGAATTTAATTAGAGAAGCGGCGATAAACTTGAACTCTGGTTGAAAGCCACGAGAGGAGAGTTGACCTTTTGACGAACTGACCGGCCACTTAATTAGCTGACAAGTATGTAAGCAGTTGACCTAGTTTTAGCTGTCAGCAAACGTGAAAGTTGAGTCGTACAGATAGCGAGTGGAAGGGGGGAGGGGGGGGGGGACTAGTCTAGCTCGACAATCCTAACGACACAATTTTGAAATTCCAAAGAAAATTTATAAACAAATACACTCCAGATTTTAAACATATTTTGTTACAGCACATTGCATGTATACTATTCGCATTTTGTTTTGTACAACCATAAATTCTAAGAAATTCTGGCTTATTACTGCTTAGCTGTAGGAACTTATCTATGCTATGCGTTTTTGAGAAATAAAAAATAGCGTAAAATACTACTTCCAGTTGATGGAAATTATTAAAAATTTGATGGAAGGCGAAGAATTAGATCTTTGATTTATATGTGAAACAGAACTCAAGTTAAAGGCTTTTAAAAAACCAAAAGTAGAATAAGTTCCACTTCCGTTACCGGAAATAATTGAAAGGTTTATACAGAACTACAAATTTGAAATAATACTACACACACACACACACACACACACAAACATAACGACAAAATTGCAAAACTATGGTTTTCCGACTCAGGGAAGTGTAAAAGTCGACATTTGTGAAAATCTCGATTTCTTGCACGATTATAATACTTCCTCTGTACGAGAAAGTAAAAAGCTACAAGCAGGTCTTGATACGCATAACAAGAAGACGGAATTAGTAATTAAACGTTAATCTAGTCAACAGTCTAAGTTAACACGAACATAATGATGAGATGAACATAAGACAGACCTCGAGAATAAAGATGTGCGGTGGTCTGACTGGTTTGGTTAAATAGGTTATCCCGGTAGCGTACAGGCGTGGTGGAGAAAAAAACGTGCATAAAACACGCTTACACATTAGCATAACAAACAAGTGTAGGCTACATTTGCATAATTCAAACGTAAGTATTTGTATAACCCACATGTAAATGTATGTGTAACACGCACACACACAAACGTAATTTTTTTTATTACTTATATGTACACATTTGTATGACGTGCAGGCCTAAATAAACATATTTATAACACGTAAATTTCTGCATAACACAATTAAATATTAGTATAACTTATAAGTAAACATATGCATAACATACATGTAAACATAATTATGTATTACATGCACGTAAACGTGTGCATTGCAAACGTAAACTTGTGTGTAACATACACGTACACATTTGTAAATCACTGTGCACAAAATGTGTTTTGACAAATAGATGTGTTGCGCTAGTAAACACAAGTTTAACACACACAAAAAAAACACATGTACATTAATACACACGAATTGCGCATACTCCCAGATAGCCTCTAAATTAGCAATTAGTGAAGTCAGTGCATAGAGACGGTTTTAAAAAAAAACACGACGGTTTAATCAGAGGCAATTAGAGAAACCGTAAGAGAGGATCTGGTTTCAGTACTTCCGGTTACAATTTGAATCTACCAATCAGATTATTTCAACCATTTTTTTTTCTTTTGAAAGAGAAGAATAAGGCAACAAAATTGTGGTGTTATTAATGTTTAGTCTTTCAAATTTAGCACAGATAATAACACTAATCAGGAGGGCTGTAAGTCGCAGATGAATTGAACGAAAGGCACGATAATGAGAATCGATACACGATCAATACTGACCCAGATAAAAATTCGGTTAACATATGACGTCACAAGAGCGGGCCAGACAAAAAAAATTTAGGCTAAAGGTCAACCGGTCAGGGCTAACGACCTCGCGGTTCTTGAACCTGAGAATTTGATCGAACTCGGTGCCACTCTACCCCCCCCCCCCCCCCCCCCCATCGCTCCACTCTCCTCCCTGCTCCACTCCTTACAGCTCCACTCCTAAGTACTCCATTCCTGCCGTGCCACAAATTCTTTGCCTCAAACCAACTTCACAAATTGCCCTTTTCTCCAGCTCACGCCACCAAAAGTAAAATGTATTCTGTAAACTAATCTAAACCTTTAAATTAAAATATTTTTAACAACAAAAATAAATGACACACTATTTAAGTAAACACGCACGTAAAATGTCCTCCGACCTCACATCCCACCACACATCCCACACATATTTCTCCAGATCACACCAATTCCTCACACAGTTAAACTCTGACCTTCTCGGTATTGACAAAATACACAGCGGTACTACAATCAACTAATCACAACATCGAACCCTCAAAGGAAATCTTCCACTACAAAATTGTGGCCTATATTGGCTCGCCTGAACCCAGCTCGTCACAACGTCTACTACGCATTGGCTTTCAAGGGAAAAAACAATAAACAAGTGCATCAGATCTGACTTGGTTTTAAGCAATCACAATTGTGGGGCAACGATAAAGTAGGAACGTAACTTGGAGGATGCTTTGTCTACCCTCACTCCCAGGACATATATATATATATATATATATATATATATATATATATATATATATATATATATATATATATATATATATATATATAAAAATATATATATATATATATATGTATATATATATATATATATATATATATATATATATATATATATATATATATATATATATATATATATATATATAATTATTTTTTTAGGCCGATACAAGAACGATGACATACAATAAAGAACAATTAAAGAGGCTAGTAAACTTGAACAAGGATGTAACTTTTTGGCTGTCTGCCGTAAGTGAAGCCATCCTACTACCACTGTTAAGTAATGTCGGCAGAGATAGTGAGCCTAGGGTACCTTGTTAAATTCTTGTATAGATTTTCTACACTTTAAAGCACAGACCTATTCTCTAGTAGAGATTAAAAACGAATTATCTAGACTGTTTAAAAAAAAACTCGCTAAGCGTGAAAAGGACTTAACTTAGCCAATCGGGCCGTATTCCGGTTAATTGATGCATGACGTAATCAGCTTTTTTTGGTACGGACAAAAAGTTGATTTGGCATTGACCCAGATTCAGGTCGGCTATTGAACCGGATGTTGGTCGGGAGATTGTGTGTACTTAGTGACCTTTGTGGTCGATTTCAATTTGTGGGTTTGTTGGTGTGGGTGTCGGGTGGGAGTGGGGGAGTTGGTGTGGGTAGGAGTGTGAAGGGGCGGGGGAAAGAATGTGCTGTGTGACGTCTTACTTTTTAAAAAATGCGAATTAAAAATTGTTTTAATTTACTACTATGTTAATTACAAGCCTCATCATTAGGGTTAGAGTTAGGGTTATTTTTTACAAAAAGTAGCTGGTCTGTACGTCACAAGACAAAGGTTAACGTAAAGTATCGTTTTGTTCGAGTATCGATCTCAATGTAAACACAAGTATTGGTAACTCTAACCTCAATCTTTTAACTTAATTTCGGGATACTAACACTAATCTTCATGCGTCATTTTGTCGATAATAAGTAAATAATGTTCTCTGTGTGGAGTGGGGGGGGGGGGGGTGTTTACAACTTCATCAGATATAATGGGGTGGGTGGGGGTCGGAAACCTGGAGATTTCTAGAAGTTTCGGTAGTTCATGCTATGATGTAGCTCCAAATTTGAGGTCCGGCTGGAGTCTAGGAAGTTGAATACACCTGGAGTCCACCCAGCTCTGGTTGGTACCTGGCATGTCTGTAGAACATCACTGAGTACACTCAGCTCTGGTTGGTACCTGGCATATCTGTAAAACGTCACTGAGTACACCCAGCTCTGGTTGGTACCTAGCATGTCCTGCAGAACATCACTGAATACACTCAGCTCTGATGGGCACATTTTTCATAAAATAATGGTGGCTAGGCATTGTGATAGTTACAATATCCTACCACGTGACAAGACATGGGGAAAAGATTAACTCTACTTTACCTGCATTAGTAACAGTTACGTCAGCAAATGAAAGTAAAGTCACTTTATATTTTAAACTCGGCATCGCATTGAAAAGGGTTTGGGAAGGAGGGGGGGGGAAGAGCCCAACCCGTTAACAAAAGAAGCTTGTCCGGTAATCAGATCAAATCAGAATTTTATAAAACAAGGCTAACGAAACCCTCCCGTACAGGGCGGCCACCCTCCGTCCAGGATTAGTCGAGTAGGACCTAAAAGGGGGCGGGGAGTGGGACGGAGTGAGTCGATAAAAAGGTCAAGGCCGTAACCTTTATCTTATCCGGCAGTTCACCGAATTCCAGCCGGCACCGCTGGCCAGTGATGTCGGTCGGTGTGTTGTGGGGCGGGGAGACATTTTTTTTGTAAAGAACTCAACGGTACCCTCGGGTGTAACTGAGGTGGTGGGGTGGGGGAATGGGGGTGAGGGGTGTAGAGTGATGAGGGTGGGTTGGTGGTGGCGAGGGTAGCAAGGATGATGTTGAGCAGACGGCGTGTGGGAGGTAGACGTCGGGTCAGATAAGGAGATGGATTGTTTTATTTGAGTTCTCTTTGTCATTTCTTGTACGGCTGTATATGTGTATATGTATTTCTGTATATGTGTGTGTTTGTGTATGTGTGTAGGCCTATGTGTTTCTGTGTTTGTGTAAGTGTATGTGTGTGTGTTCTTGTGTGTGTGTTTGGGTTTGTGTATGTGTTTGCGTATGTGTATGTGTGTTTACAAGCGCCTTTACGTATTTAGGCCTACATTTTAATACTTACGTGTGTATGTGTGTGTGTTTTTCTAACGCCTTTATCCTAATGAAGTGAAAGGTGTTGGGTTTGTTTTTTTAAACATTATTTGTTTTAAATCAGAAAGCCTGTTTAAAATTAAGGCCGACCTAATTATTGCGCAATCTCGCGCGGATGCGCCTGTTTATCATCAGTACCACGTGAGAGACTCCAGACAGCTGATAGGTGACCCGACAGGTACAGTGTACTGTTAACAATAGATACAGTGACCAGAAAGATGCGCAACGGAAAAAGCGCTAAAAAAATATGTGCAATGGAAAAAAGCGCAATGGAAAAAGCGCAAAAAAAATGTGCAATGGAAAAAAGCGCCAACAGAAAAAAGCGCAAACGGAAATTTGCGCAACCATAAACACACCACACACACATATACACACATTGTCACACTCATAAGTGATGAAAAGTCTGTGTGTCATTTATTTTCTGTGTGCATAATTTTCACA